CAATTTACATAAACAAAATAACATTAATTATATAATTAACCAAGAAAATTACATCTTTATAAATAACAAATTAATTCTTAAACAAAACTATTAAATATAAACTAGGCAAACGTTCATTGCACGTTGCTTGCACCTAGTATATACATATGGCCTAAAACAGACCAACAAGGAACAATGAGGATAGAGAAATGCCACCATCACTCGAGACTGACGCAAGTGACAAATTTGATCAGTTGATATACTGGACTCTGACTACAGTGCAACTAGTTGGTTTAAACCCATTAATTGCACCACTTGCAACTGGAGCTAGCAAATTATTGTGTCTAAGACTCACACTTACAAAGTCTAACCACACCTTTGCATCAGGTTTTTAGAATCCATACTTCACTTAAAATGTAAAATTATAAGTTGATTCAGTATAATAAGAAAGTGCAGATTTTTTTTTTTTTCACATTATGAAACAATTTAATTATAAAATACTGATGCTGTATTAGTACTCATTTAAATATTGTGTTTGAATAACTATACTTGAAATTACATGCTTGGTAAATTAAATTCTTACTGTAATAATGTCAAAGAACTACAGATGACATAAGTTTAATATTTTAAATAAATTCATAATTTATTATGATAAATTATTTCAAATATTTTTTAATATTTATTTTTATTTTTGTTTTTTGAGTGGGAGTGGGAGGTAACAACAATTCCTAACCAAATGGAACAAGAATTGGTAATATTTAAAATCTTGATATTATAATAATTTACAATTAAGAGAACCTCACACATTTTATTGGCTAAACTTATTTTAGAAAAAACCCTTCTTTACTACACTTTACTATCCATTCTACATTTCAAACTCTAAGCAGTCAGGCACATCCTTAGAGAATGAAAGACATCGTACTCATTTGCGAGTGACAGAAGTTTGTGAATGAATGTGGATACATCACACGCACATGAAGTGTGTATGCCAAAGAGGACGGTGCTCTTTCAGCATTTTTGCCTTGCCACGGGCGAATGCAGGTTAGCACACGGAGTCTACAACTAATCAAATGGACTTAAACTCATTAATAAAGACCATTAATTCTTTGTTCTTCTAGCTTTCTCTCAAGCAACGCTCATAAGCCAGATCTGCAACATAGAGTATACCAACTACAAGGAGAAGCAACGTCGAAGAAAAAGAAAAACAACACAAACATTCCATAGATCTATGAGTAGAAAACAAAAATGGAGGCAGCAAAGTTCATATCCAAACCAGGTAGCAAAATCCAGTCATTTTCCATGGGAAAAACCGAAAAATAGCCATAATTTTTACAGCAACTTTTTTATTTTACAAAATGAAGCTTTAAAACTTAAATCAACAGAGGCAAACAAAGCAGACAAGTCCAATCAGATCAAAATTTAGCGAAAACGAAAAATAAAAAGTAGACAGACAGACAGACAGAGTGTGAGAGAGAAGTACCTGAGAGTGCAACACAGAGAGAAGAGGACAGGAGCTACTGGGAAGAGGCGAGAAAGATGCCAATTTATTCTGGAACTCGGAATGGGAAGGGCATTTTAGGGAAAATGCAGATTAGTAGTCTGGCTAACAAAGGGGGTTGGGGACAATTTCGGTAGAAAATAACGATTAAATTAATCTAAAAAAGTTGACAATTAATTGAAAAAATGTATTGTCAAAAAATTTGCGAACTTAGTGGGTGTTTGGCACCCATTCTTTTGAAAAATGAGTTTTTAAATAGTGATCGATGTGAAGAATGTGTGGTTAAAAAGTAAGAAAAATTTTTGGGTTTATGTATAATATTATTTTATTTGAAGAATGTGTTGTTAAAAATGAGTACTGTAGAAAAATGAGAATGAGATAAAAAATGGGTGTCAAACGGGACTTATCAATAGATAAAGAAATCAACCTCTGTATACTATCCGTATCCATAAAATAATAATAATGCGGGCAGGGCAGGGCAGGGCAGGGCAGGGTAGGGTGAGAGATCCGTTAACATTAGAGAGAAAAAGTGACAGATAGCAACAAAATCATGGCGATAATATCGAAACCAGATCAGCTGTGACTCACGTGCTTTTCCACTACATTCATTTGTCATTCCATTAACTACGTTCAACTAATAATATGTAATACAACTCATGCTGAACACTAATTTTAATATTCACAAATACTACACCAATTTGGTGTGTAGCCCTTTTACACATATTTATTTTATTCGCATATTCTTTAATAATTTAATTATTTACATCATTTTCAATAGTTTACACCAAATTTGGTATACAAACTTGTTACATATACAACATTTTTGTATAAACCTTACAGCCCTCTCACATGGATGGTGGGGCCCCCGATACATCATTTTCAATAGTTTACACCAAATTTGGTATACAAACTTGTTACATGTACAACATTTTTGTACAACATACCTTACAGTCCTCTCACATGGAGGTGATCGCGGGACCCACATTATGTAAGAGAGCTGTACATTGCATAACATTTAAAAGTTGTACAAACAACTTTATTGTTTGGTATTACCTTTTCACCAAATTTAATGTAACTAACACTAATTTTAAGAGTCATTAATGTTCACAAGTACTCCATCCATCTCAATTATATAGGTTTGTTTCTTTTTTCACACGGATTAAGCAAACTTCTTTAATATTATTGGAAAATTAATTCTTGCCAAAATCTTTCCTAATTTACCCCTATTTAATTTTTAGTATGTAATCACGGATTAAGCAAACTTCTTTAATATTATTGGAAAATTAATTCTTGCCAAAATCTTTCCTAATTTACCCCTATTGAATTTTTAGTATGTAAAACTAAATTATTGTTGGAACTGATAAAGAATTTGAAGAAAAAGAAATAAGAGTTGTTCCATGTTTCCAAGAAGTGAGAAATATGTGTATTTGGATGATTTCGAGAATTTAGCATATTAAGTGGAAAAAATTTAATAAGAACATATTGGTAAAGGAACACAAAAAAATATTTTATATTAGGAAACATGTATATATATTTAGGATAAGAGAACAAGGAAACGCAATCTATATAATTGGGATGGAGTGAGTACTATACTTAGTTTTTCCGTACATTCTTTAATAATTTAATTATTTAGATAATCTCTAATGGTTTACACCAAATTTTGTGTAAAAAAATTAAAAAATTGACATCTCTCTCCAATGCAAAGGTTGATAACTCCGAGGTCATGTTTTGGAAAGTACAATTAAATAATGATTATGTTACTTGTACATAAAAATGATACATAAGGGGTTACATAAAATGATGTGGCAGGAAAAAAATTGGATGAAAAAGTTGACTATATTTTAAACTGACAATGATAAAATATCACGTGACATTATATAATCAATTATGTAAAATTTTATTTATATGTAGCAAGATCCATTAAAGAATAATGAAAAATGAATGAAAACTATATTTTTACCTAGTTCGTGACAAAGATTCATTGAATACAATTATGATAATAAATACCGAGGAAAATTTATTTTTTTAAAAAAAGAATACCATTAGAACGAAGTACTATCCATAAAAATCAGAAGTACTATTGAAATTAACAGTTAAAATATTAAAATCATTAGAGGAGTGTAAATTTACACCCTTGTAACGATTATACAAATGAGTTTTCCCAATATCAAAATATTGTGCGGTGCATTAAAGAAAGCCGATTAAATATAAAAGCAAAGCCAGAAAACAGTATTTGCCCAGGCCAAGAAAATGTTCACCTACCCACTAGTAGGTAGGTGGAATTATTCTTATTTTATTGTTACACTGTCTAAAAGTTAGATCATAATACAGCTCTCTTTACTTTTTTTCAATGAATGATCATAAATGTGTGGAAAAAGGTCATGACATAAAAAAAAAATTAAAGCTAAAAAATACCTCGAAATCGTGGTTTAAATAAATAAATAAATTTATGGTTACCTTTTAGTAAATGTAATAACGACATTGAAAAAGGTATATGTGTAAAGCTTTGCGTCATTATATTATTTTATGAAAATGTTTCTTTACTCTCTTCTCATGTCATAAATGGGAAAATCCGTTAACATTTATTGCCTCTATAGAATTTACATTTTCTAAACTGAACCCTGTGAAAGACAGAGCGGAGTTGGGCTTCAATTTTTATTTATTGATTCCTTTCATCCACAGATATTTATTAGAATCGTCAACCAATTGATGGGAATAGGAACGAATTTCATAATTTTCTATAAAAAGCATGAGATGCAAGACATTTGTAGAAAATTGTTCCAAATACATTCAAGAACTCGCCACATATAGTATTTACATTAAGCAATTATGCTACTTTTACAATTAATTTGAAAACTAATTTGAGTTGACAGACATCATGTCCATTGATTAAGAAATACGTTCACTCTTTGATACAAGGACTACAGATACTAAAAAGTTGGAAGTTTGTTTGACATTATTTTTACATAAAAATGAGTTTTTTTTTACCCTTTTTTCAAATTTGTGGGTCTCACTGAGAGATTGGTCAAAAATGGTGGCTAAATCCCTCCCCAATGGTCAGATTTTTCCTTTAAATGGCAAACAAACGGGGCCTACATTAGCAGTTTCACGCCCACACAATGGTTGAATAATCTGGTCATCCATTTTTACTGATCTACCTTTCAACATCTATCTCCTTTCTGACACATACGAGTTATTTTATTTAGTAAAATTCAAATGATTAGTCTTTGTGGAAAGTTCCACTAATCAAACAATAGCACTCAAAATATATTAGAGTTCTCACAACTAACAATAGTGAGGTATATTAAGAGAATTTCTTACTTTCATGCAACTCCATCTCTCCTTGTCATCTTCTTTTAAGTTAATTATGTCAATCTGACTTTGCTTCAACCTCTATTCCCACCAGACATCAAATTTTCAGCAGTATCTACAACGTCTCATAAATGCACCAAAATTTTAGCGGGGAAGAAGTTCTTTCAAAATCTCTCTCTTGTCAACAATTTTTTATCTGCCCCAAAGATGTTCAAGCATAGTGATGTCGAGTTCCTCGATCCTTTGATTTAGTATTGATAATATTAGGATTAGTCAGTTTCAACAGATGCGAGTAGGGACGAAATATAACTCAATAATAGAGAGCTAAAATGAAAAGGTAAAACCTTAAAAGTCATCAAATCAAATGAATATCAAATTTTCTTTGTGGTAAGTTAATCTGAATAGTCTTCTCATCTTTTCTGCTACAAAAAATATGTCTAACATACTTACTTTAAGCAATAATACAAATAATATTCAGTAATCTATAATTAGAAGGTTCTATGATTAAACTCTGCTCCCATCGATCTTTAGTGTATTATCAACAATCCGCAGCCTATCTTCTGTGGCAATTACTGCAGTGCACCTGTCATTCAGCCCGAAACCATTGAACACACATTTAAATTATTTCTACGATGAAAATTCTTGGCTAATGGAGACAAAAGCGAGTATAATAAGAAACATGATACTATTAGGATCAGCTACAGAAAAAATTAATGTAAAGGCGTGAATAAGCCAAAATTAACCTGAGCTACGTCAATAAATGATAGCAGCAATCATAAAATAGAGAAGGGTAAGTATAAGGAACTGACGGGATCCTGGAAATAACCCCGTGCTCTACGACACCATCAACTTGATCCAAACTATCAGCTACTTCAGCTGCAAGAAAATCAATACCAGCCTAAGAAAAGATTGCACATGAAGTAGAGAAAAACTGAAAATACACTTGTATATCGAAATGTATAATTGTACCAAGGCTTATTATTGGAGATGTAAAAATTACATCGAGAACATTATGCCCTTCTTTAGTGACTAGAGGGAAATCACCCCCTAATGGACCTGCATACCCTACAGATGGTCTCCTCCAAACCTTGATAAAATTAAAGGGAAAAAAAAAATCTATATGAAATTTTGTCTTCCATGTAAATAATAGTTGTCTGTCTCATCAATGTAAAAGTTAAATGTAATGCATAACTAGTGCAATGCGGAATGATTAACCAAATACTAAAACAAAATCTAGACTAAAACTAAGATTAATCTCCAGAGAAATTTTAGTTCTCAGTAGACCCTTCATTCAGAGATATCAAAAAAACTAGTCCAGGCATCAATTGGTAACAATCTATCCAATCCCTTCCTGTCCTCCAATTTAGTGTTCCTGAAGATCCTATAATTTTCATTTTTCTGGTTCTTTCTAGGAAGCATGAAAGAAAATACTACTACATGACTAAACCTCATTTTAACTGGGCCTAACTATAACGTAACTAAATCCTTTCTTCTAAAAATAACAAAAGAAAAGGGATGTGATCATATGACAATGAACAACAGGAAGTTTACAATTATCAACTTAGAATTAACAGAAATTACAAAATCTATACCCTAAACTGCTAATTACATGTTTGCTAGGCACAGAATAACTTATTATATCTTCACGTCACCATCTCTGTGGGAGACTCAATGTATCTTTATTGAGAAATAATTAGATATAACATTTTTTTGGGGTCGGCACTCGGAGCTAGGGAAAATTTGAGAGCACAAGATTTCACATTCCAGTAATTTTCTAATTGTAAATCCAATGGCTTACAATTTTAAGGGGACCTAGGTGGAAAAATAACACAGTAAGACCTTATTTGACTCTCATTTCTTTTAAAATACATATTTTTCTCTTTTCTTTTCAACCATACATTTTCCAATAAAATAATATCAGACGCAATCCAAAACCTTTTTCTTCATTTCTAGCCACACATTCTCCATCAATCTACTATTCCAAAATGCATTCTACACAAAAAAATGGGGCTCAAACAGGCCCTAAAATTGTCTTCTAAATTTCAAATCATATTATTGAAGAAGTTCAAGTTCTACAAATACTAGAGAAGGAGAGTGTAAAGCAAAGAAATTTTCAAATTAATCACATAACAATTCTCTGTCTTATGTGAGGATACCTCAGCATCACCAAGGAACAGGTCATCAATTTCTTCAGCAGTTTCCAACCAATTGATCTGAAATACAACGAAACAAGATGTTTGAAAGAAATGTTCCATCATAATATAAGTCAATAACTTGCGTACTTCTTGTGCTTGAGCTTACGGATCTGATTAGAACTGGTATCGATCCATCTACAGCTCCTTGATACTGTTTTCCTGTGACAATGAATACAAGCTTCCCAGCTGCCTTAAGAACAGTCTGCACCAGAATTAACTAGTGTAGCTGAACAATAATCATAATTCGAAAGGAATCTATGCAAGATAAGGAGTATATCGTAACATGGCGTATTCAAGACATATTTAGTTAAGATGATTCGAAACAAGAGTACTACAAGAAAAGTTTAGTGGTTCACTACACAGTTATCAATAGTACTGTTAGAGTCTATATTTTGAGGTTTTCAACTCTTTACTGTCTCTGAAATAAGAATTAAAATATACTGATGTACTGATTGAAGGATGGACTTTTGAGTGACCTTTTCTTGAATTAATGACTCGCCACCCTGCATTGTCTGACGCCCAATGACTGCTGCAAGTGTTTCTTCTTCTATAACGTCAGCATCATTGAATGCTAAATCAATCTAAAAACATGGCAAAGCAGAATGTGGTAAAGCACATCCAAGCCGATATACGGTATAAAATGAAAAGAGCCATCCAATAAAAGCATTCACCCTAACTAAAACTCAACAATGCAATTGAGCACAATAAAACAAAATAAAATGTGCACACTTTAGAGCTGTCTCCATATTGATCCAATGGGATTCCGACCTTTGCAGCTTCACTTGCACTACCAACAGATCTGCATCACAGTGTTGCTGATTACTCCTAATGGAAAAATGAAACTGTAAGTGCTAAACAAAACGACATCATTGCAAGCATAATGCTCATCAAACTTGCACCTTGAGTTTGGACGCTGGGAAAACTCAAATTTATACTCTAAAAGTGAGAAGTCTACTCAGTTTAACTTTTCTATATGCTATTAATATAGTGGAGCACTTTGACATACTGACACTAGATGAAATATCTTATGCAACCAGGGAATCAATTAATGTCATCATCCCAAACCACGATAATTGAGACAAAATTCCACTATATAATAAAGCGCTATACTTTGCTCTCTAAAGCCTTGAAACTTCTATCATAATTCTGTGACAATTCGAAGATTTCGACTAGGCATAAAGTGTTTGCCCTGGCGATATTGTCCAGCTCATTTTGTCTAAAAAAATGGCTTCTCCACATTCGGTCGGTTTAGTCCAGTTAATATTTTTAAAACTCTTGATTTCTCGAGAAATTAATTCTTGCCAAACAAACAGACCTTAAATTAGAGACTTTAACTTATCATGATCCTTACACAAAATAGAGGATTTTGACTTACGTAGGAATGCCAACAATATCTTTAATCAGACCGGACCGAAGCTGCCGCCCCAAATACTGTATGGCCAGACCAGAAGCACGGCCAGACCCCAGTCCAATCACCATTCCATTTTCGACATACGAATCCACCTTTTGTATGCAATTGAAAATCAAAGCTTAATAACGAAAAAATAGACATGCTGTTGAGCAAAAAAAGAAAAAAGAAAACCTAGTAGCATGGAAGTGATTACGGTGTGTTTGGCTGCTTGGAGGAGGACAGAATCTTCAAGGAGGCTGTTGCAAGTTACCATGGGAAGCGCATTAGGTCTTCTTATTGTTGAATGTTGGTTTAACTTGACGAGCGAGAGAGAATGAATCGATGAAAATGATGACGTTAGTGCCATTGTCGGGAAAAAATTTCGTCTGTTTTTCTACTTCATTATATATACTGTTGTTTCATGGGTTTAAAGTTGAAACGAAAGGATAAGACGACGGTCCCTCTACGGTTTCATACATTTTGGATAGATTTTCATCCGTGGTCACTGAACTTTTTTAAAAAAATTAATTGAGTCACTGAACTTTCAACTGATTTGCACATTGAAATCCATAGACATATATGTGGTATTACCTCTTTGTAATGAATTTTATCATAACTTTGGACAAGATACGAGGACATACATTTATGATTTATATAGTTCATTCGCAAATCACCACATAATCTAATGCGCTTTATATAATGTAATGTTTAAAGATATAGTGAGCTCTTACAAAAAAGAGAGATTTGATTTTCATTCAAGAAAGACTATCAAATAAGTTAAAGAGAATTTAACTAGCAATATGGAATTAAACAAGATTATATATGTGAAATAGGGTGTTCTAAATACCTTGAATTAAGTTGCTCATTCGTTTATTCAACCTCCACAAAATAATTTCATAAACTTACTGAAGTTAGGATACTATACTCATTCGCCTTGTACTTATTTAACATTTTCACTTGCAAAATGTACACAACAATCTTTATTTGTACAAATATTAGCCCAATGATTTCAAATTGGTGTCACATAGGTGATAGGTTCATCTTGCCAGTTTACTTGCCCAAGTCGAGTCGCGGTTTATAGTTGGATGAGCTCAAGTCAACCCACTTATGGGATTGGGTCGATTAGCCCAAAACCAAATTAATATATTTCTGTGCAAATTACCAAATTCCCTACTTTTCAAGATCTATTTTCTAAAATCAGATTTCAAATTTTAATTTTCAAAAATCAGATATTTTTAATTAGATACAGATTATAATTATATATATATACAAATTATATTTTAATTTCATCCCAAATCAAACCCTAAATTCATTTCTTATCTCCCGTCTCTCACTTCTCTCCCTCTCCGTCACCGACGACTTGATGGAGCATCGGCAGAGGCGGCACATGCCTCTTTTTGTAAATCTCACCTATCGCCGCCTCTCTCCTTTCTCTCTCTATTTTCACATCTCTCATTCCTCTCTTTATAC